AATAGTTAATTGTTCTTGTGATGTAAACAAAAGAGGGCACCTAGGTGTTATGCATGCAAAACGGAAGGTTACTTGAAAATAGGGCGTGTACTGAGTACGAGAGACAGCACAAGTGAGGTCTGTGAAAACGGCCGCGTATATGGCAAGGGGGACTGTCATAGGCTGATGGGTGGCCAATCAGCACAAAGGAGGTGTGAACAGGGGACCATGACCTTGATCGTTCGCTTGTCACGCGTTTGTGGCATGATGGCCTGACGGCCCGGGCAGGATACGCTGCACTAGGGACTCGCATTCCATATTCGCTGGAGGGACTTGAAGGTACCCGGTAAGCTGCGTGGTTTCTGTCTCTGTTGATGGAGTTAGCTGGACCGCTGGGCGGGCATTACTTATTATCGATCGAGTTTCAGAGACTTCCCTTCCCAGCTTGTGGGCATGCCCTGCACACTGCATTCATACTGATTCCATTCTCCAAGGAGTTTTTAAACTAAAGTTTCCTCAAACGGCGGAAAAAAGAACAAGCCCATTTCGCGTCCACCATTTTGGTGACAGAATTTAATATGTTAGCTCTAGAATTAAACTTGTATCGGCTGCTCCTGCACTTCAGTCACAATTCTCGTAGAGAACAGGCCACTCTGAATTTTATCCTACAAGCATGCTGTCGCTTCTGCCAAGGCGAGTCGTCTTCAGTTCCGTTTGCATATTCTGGACAGGCACCCCGGCCAGGAATCTGAAACATCACAGCCTCGGTCTGAGTAACTTTGCCAAGCATTTCAATAATTCATGTTCTTCCATTGTCCTCATATTTACTCCTGACCTTGTTCGCCTGCACCCAAGGCGACATTCAGCATGACCGAATCATCCAAATCAAGCGGCCAGCAGACTGCATCACGAAAGAACGCCATCCATTGCGGTCCGTCAGGGGAGAAAGGCTGACGGGCGAAGTCTGAACCACTCTGATGTCTGCCAGCCTCACGACTAGGAACTGCGCCCGGCTTTGAAATTTAGTCACATCAGTTCACAACGAAAGGCCCTGCTGGGTTAAAGCCAGCGTCCTACTATGAGGACATCGCAACTGCAACTTCGACCTCAAGGCTTATCAGTGCAAACATTTTCACTCACACCGCCAAGGACACTGAAAAAATAATCAGCGACTGATCATAGCTCGTCAGCTCAGTGTCTGTTAATCGTAAAGCACTTTTGCGAATGCAAACGGGGACAAAACAGGTCTGCTTGTAATCCACCACGTTCGCATCACAATTTGATCGAAAGCATTCACTCCAACAGGCCAGCTGCAATTAAATTAACACGTTGACCTGCAAAGTAGCACGTACATCAGGTGACCTAAATCATGAAATGGGTGTCAGTTCGGGAAACCACGCAAACATTGCAGAAACCGTCAGCCAAAGCGTCCACTTCACGATGAACGGCCTTTAGATAAATAACGACCCTGATTAGAAAAGCGGGAATTTCGAAAACAGTAAAAGTCGCCTCGATGAAAATCGAATATGTGGCCCACTAAGAAAACGGGAGGCAAAGGGCTCCCGTAAAAGGGGGTGTCGTGTGTGTGGGGTAAATGAAACTGACAAATAGCTTTTTTTAGAAACGGAAGTAAAAAAACCCAAATTTATGGCATCAACATGTCTAAATGCACCAACATGGCGTAAAAACGCGGGCGCGGAATTTTAAATGTTGGTAAGCGGATGGAAAAAAATGGGAGTCATTGGCTGAACATGCCAGGCGAACTAACCCCAGCCCGTGGTGACTAGTCACACTGAAGGAGAAAGTTTGGCGAGTATATCGTAAAAGCCGACTCCAGTGGTGGCCGAGACGGAATACAAAATTGAGTTTCATAACGTTGCTAGCTTAAACCCTAACTCTGAACCTGTTTACGAAGCCTAACCCAAAGCCTTAACCCCCTAACCCTAAGCCGATCGCACTTGCGGGGACGTGTCGATAAGTGAGCGAAAGACAGGAAGGTTAAATTAAGACTACCCAACTGATATGAGTAGGCGTTTTATGGGAGCAAAACGGGATGGGACCACATACACGATAGTCACCGTCGCGTCAAGTGAGAAAATTTAATTTGGAGGGGCACAAAATGAAAGCCTGTCTAAATAACAAAAGCTGAGTACTCCTGGGGTTAGGTTCTCCCAATGAACTGGTGGTGTATGCAGTATGGCAGATAGCCAGTTGTTCGACGTTCAGTGACAATATTTAAGTGGTTGTTTCGAAAATTCGATGAGACCTTTTGATGTTCTTTTGCGGTTGACCACAGTCGATAGAAGTTCTCCTATCTTCATTAGTAGGGACTTCACGGACAAGGGCATATGTCACATGTCGATATGCCGATCAGGGATAAGGAAAGTGGCATATAATTAACCAATGCAATCACAGGCGTACCGTCTTCTATGTAGCAAGAAGACTTTTATCATGCAGCATTACTGTTATTTTTGGCGGCGATAAATTCCACCGATGTACGGGATGTTCTTGAGATGTCAGTTCGTACTTGCAATTTTCAGTTATCAAACTCCTCAAAGGCGGCAAGCGACGACAGGGCTTAAGCAGGAAATCTAATCGCCGAAGAAATTGTTTGTTCACAACACGGGTATACTATGAATATGTTTCTAATCAGCTGAAAGACCTATTCATCTCTTGAGAAGCCCTTTAATATGGTAATCCGCAGTGAACCCTGTTTTCTTGTTTTATCGTAGAATGTTGATGAAAATATCGAAGAGGACCCTCAGAAGACGTGTTCAGCGTGGTTTTCGTGCAGGTTTTCAGGCAATTGAAGAGAATGTGAGGAAAAGGTATTCGTCCGACTCAGCTTCATCCTCGTGGTCTAGTATCATATCCTCCAGTTCCTACACCTACACGGAGACTTGTTCTTCTGACTAAGACGCTTGTTTCCCTCAACCGGTTCCGTACACTAAGCTAGATGAATCTACACGGATGCAGTCATGTGATGGTCATCTAGAGGCCTCTCGAGAGGCATCAGAACCTAACGTAAACGTGGGCAGTTGGTTCTCACATTCCGCTGGTCCATCTGACCAGTCTTCTCAAAATTATGAGAAGGCTGTCCCCGGATCTTCCCTCGGACGCGTGAACGTTGCTGGGTGGGACAGCGGGTTGACCTTAAGGTCAACCGAAATACGGGACTGGTGGTAATAGGGGCCTTTTGTAAGGTGAAACGCCCTGTTTATAAATATATGAATGGAATAGGAAGATAAGGCGATCTCTGGGAAAGAAGGTTTATTTATCTGACGTTTCATACTCATGCTCGAGCACATCATCGGAGGTGGACTAAGTGAGAGTGATCGAGTTGGCGTCTGATTTCCAGGCATCGATTACTTCCCTCGCCAGTTTGCTTTCGGCTCGGCCGAGCACTTGGGTGCCGTCAAAGTCGAACGTGTGATTATTTTCCAGGCAGTGCATGGCGACATGCGATCGTACGTGCTTTCGCCTTACGGCCAAAGTGTGCTCATGCATGCGCGTTCTTAGGCGTTTGTCCGTCATGCCGCAGTAGTTGGCCAGACAGTCTAGACATTTGACGCGGTAAATGACGCCTGACGTGTCTGCAGGTGGTAGCCGGTCCTTGGGTTGCATGATTAAACGGCGGATGGTGGCCTCCGGTCGGTGTCCAACGCCCACGCCTAGCGGCCTTAGCATGCGTTCAGTGGCTTCGGAGACGTTACTCGCGTAGAGCAAGACACGGAAGATTTCTGGTCTTCTCATCGTCGGTCTTCGTGTGCCTTCGGTACAAGCATTTGTTTACAAAATTGCGTGGATATCCATTGGCAAGGAAGAGGCGCCATAGGGTTTTACGCTCCCGCAGCTTCTTGGCTTCTGCGCTGCAGTGTGTGCGGATGCGGCGAAAAAGTGGCCGGACACAACTGCGTTTATGCGACAGGGGATTAATGTATTTGAGCTGCATTCTTGCTTTAATAGATTAAAAAGACACTTTCGGGAGGACACCTGGTGGGTACGCGTATCCGTCCAGTCGGTCTAACGCGCATCTCGTGAAAATACTGCAGCGCATTATAAGATGACATCCAAAGAGTAGTCCGATCATGGGACTCGCTGCCAGGCTAGATAGTGACGTCCGGCACCATATTGGAGTCTAGAAAAGCTTGGTCGTAAAATTTTTTATAAAACTGGTCCTTCACGACGTCATGACTTGCAGGCAGCTTTGTAAAACATTTGGTGACCGACACTCCGTACTGGACGACAATAATGATCTTTTAAAAATAGTATCGCATTTTGACTCGAATATAATTCTGAATGTTTAAAACTTTGCAGACTGCAAATATACAAAAACTAACTATATGTTGATGGGATCATCCTGGGTTCTGCCTCTATTCCTCCTAATATAAGCATGCAACTACAATGTGGCCTCACCTTCCCGCTACCCTGCCTTCCAATACATCCTTTACCCCTTCATTTCAAATGTCTTTTCAACAGAATTCGTAAGCTCATCTATTATAGTCGACGCTTAGGCCCCGCCCAAAATCTCCCCAGCCTGTGGGCCCCTCCGACCCTTTACTGCCCTCCTGCTCGGCTAACCAAGGACATTCCCCATCCCGAGACGCTTCATCCGAATACTTGACGGCTTTTCTCGTCTCTTGCTGGTCGAATCGCTCGTTCGACAGTTTACACCGGCCAGACACTGTTGATTAAATTCTCGAGGAGGCTGTCACGAAATCAGCCTGACCAATCCGGCGTGTTCTCCGCGGTAGCGCCTGCCATAGGTTAGTGTCAACTACTAGTTATACCACAATAATGTCTGTGTTCGCTCGTTTTATCGCAGCACTTAGGCAGTCGCATACTGACCACAGGGAAGTTCTCGTCACTATGAAATGTGACTTCTGGCTGACCAGCATATCCGCCTCAAGCCTACCGCATTTGAAATTCTCCCAAGAAAGTCAACCTACTAACAACAAGACAGTAGGCAGGTTTAATTACAATAATATGTTGGTGCAAAATTCCCCAGAGTGGGCGTCTGGTCAAGCGTCCGGCATAACATTGTCGTCTTCACCGCCGCCTGCAGCAGCGGTCAAAATCTTCCGGAATCGATGGTATGGAGAGGACGCGGAGTGCAGTTGGGCAATGAGGGCGTTCTGTTGCGCGATTTCATCCTCGGTGGCGAATTCACCTTCCATGGCGAGCTTGGCAGCAGCTACAGCTTCATCCGCGTCGCCACCGTCGCCAACACGTTTGCGCTTTCGTTCTGAATTCAGTGTCCGCACGCTCTGTCAAAGGAATGGAAAGAGTAAGGTTAACCGCCCGGTGCGCGGTCTGTCTGGCCATCTGGTTATAAGGAACGTGTTAACGCAGCTAAATGGCGAATTACAGGAAGTAGTCGCGGAGAAGGAGAAACGATCGCTGAAACAAGTGTTTTATTAGCCTGACGTTCCGGATTCTCACTAGAATCCCTCACCAGAGACGGAGTCAGATAAGGGTAGTAGATTGTCCAGGTGTTGCAATATTTATAGGCCAGTCGAACTGTGATGCACTCGGGAGCTGCCAACTGTGATAGGCATGTAGCGACCTAGCAAACACAACCTATAAATATTGCAACACCTGGGCAATCCATTACGCTTGTAGTGGACAGCCATAATGGCTACGTTGCGCTTCTCGCTAGCGCCTGCACCTACGTCCTAGCGACAACCTGCTATGGCACGCACATCTGTCCGGCTTCGATTTGTCTTGGTGCAATTCACTGTCTGCACCACGCATTCGGTCGATTCTCTGTCTGCACCACGCGAGGCTTGTCACTACCTTCGCGTGGGCTCGGAGCCAATCAACGTAACTCCTGTCGCTGATTGGTAAGACAGGCGGGAACAGTCCAGAACAATAGAGTAAACAACCTGCAACGACACTTTTGCAGCGGCGACCTTCGGCGACACACGGCTCGTCGCTCTCGCGGACGCCGCCTCCGCGGCACCGGACGCATCCTCATCCGGTTGCCAACTTCCCCCTTCACTATTCTGTATAGAATAAAGTGTCCTAACCAAATGGCGCCCTGCTTCTAACAACTTGGGATATAGCCTGCAGTTGTGGCGTACTGAGCGTACACTATCACCTCATAGCCGCTACACGCTTATTTGACTCTGTCTCTGGGGTCGGGTTCCAGTGAGAATCCGAAACGTCACGCTAATAAAGCACTTGTTCCAGCGATCGTATCTCCTTCTCCGAGGGCAAAAGTGACATGACAAAGGGTTTTGAGTAACGGAAAACGTGATTGCACCGAAAACGCGTCGCGTCTGCAGGTGGTAGATAGTAAAACGACCTTTAGTGAAGTCCAGCTGTAGAGTGAGACAACTACCGAGTGTGATGAATAGGAAGTCGTGGACCCTGCAGCGGCAACATCTTCAAAAGCGAATGGACGTCGTTCTGGAGAATCAACCAACCATCAATGGGCTACGGTCAAAAGCGATATTACCACATGCCAAGTGTTGCTGCCCACAAGGCTAGGACTTCTCATCGGCCGTCGAGCATAATCTTGGGACCTTAGGCGAGTGATCGGAAAGAAAGATGCTGACGTCCAAACCTGAATGCGTACGCCCATCCGCCTAACTAAACCGTCCCATCCAGCAAGCCACGACTCAACCGGGCAGGCGGATGGAGTAGGGGGGAGGAGCAAAACCCTTGACAACAACAATTCGAGTCCGTCTTAGCGTGCAATAACCTGATCGGACACATTTTTCGTGAGGTTTCTCGGGAACGATGAGTACAGGTGGGTCTCAACCAGTGGTTTAGATTATTCGTTCGAGGTTGTCTCCTCTAGCCATTTGGCGGAAAAACCTAACCCCAAGGCAGCGGATGTAAGAAAAAGTATTTAATGCTGGTAGACGGTCGCCATGTCGTAGTGCTGTGAGGCATTTTACAAGGCTGTCGGTGTGCCGGACTCCCCGCCATCCACACCCAGGTAGCGACGTCACTGATAAAGCCAAAGTAGCAAATCAAGTCTTCTTTAAACTTTAAGCTCGAAGAAACAGTATCTTTCAGTCTGAAAAAGTTTCCTATTAGGAGATTTCTCGTGACCGTGAAATGCCCAATTATGCAGCATCGTTGGTCATAAAAGGGACAACGTGGTCCATATTCCATTGCAGAAATTTATGAGCCCTACATTTTCTCCTTATAATATCATATAGAACTGTGTTATTTTTCGCAGGAAAAGTATGCAGCTTGTTGTTCGGAAACTCTGGATATAAGTGTAACGGCAGGTCGGTTTCAGTACTATTCAGTAACTGATAGTTTTTTTTAAACCGAGGAATATGCTCTCACCAAGTATAACATTTGAAGACGTGATTTGTTGCCGAGCGAGTAAAAGAAAGAATGATTTCGTGCATATTTTATATAAATTTACAGGGGCATCGAAAACCAGTTGGAGTAATTCCTGCTATTTAGGTAATCATCTTTTACGGAATGTAGTTTATTTAAGCGGTCGATAAGGAGCTCGTTCAAAAGCCGGCATCCTGACGGCTCGAACACGGCGATTGGTTGTAGCGGCATGGAGGCAGTGAAGACGACCTAGACGGCTTGGGTACATCATACGACAGCCCCCGTAGGACCTTTCAAAGTAGTTTTTACACAATATGGAGTTGCCCGTGGCGGAGTAAAAGGCAGCCTTGTATGAAAAAAAATACAAAACACGCTGAATAAAACACACCGACAAGGTGCTGAACTAGGATGCCAGTGACTTACTTCAATCATCTCCTCGTCGGCACGAACTTTCAAGTCCATAGTGGGGGCGGCGGTGCCGTCCTTTGGTTGTTTTCTACCCGCAGCCGAGATCGGCACTCTGGCATGAAGGTCCAGTCGTAGGCTGAGACCGTGAGCTGTGGAGGCGGAGACAGTGATGTATACCATCACGTGATCAAAGATGCGATAGAATTGCTTCCCGCCGTGGGCGCCCGAGCGGACGACTTCCAGCTGATCGCAGGGCAGTGTGCCACCAGTGCTGTTGCCGCTGACGCTGACATCTGGTATGAAGGTGGTTCGTAGGATTTCGCAGGAGTCCGCGGGTAGCCAGGTGATGGCGGGGTCACCCTTTTTGGTGCCATTACTAGCCCAGGCGACGCGACCATCGGGCTGTCTGAGGAAGACGTTTCCTCGAATGCCGTACCTACATTGCGATGAATTTGGAGAAGACGTACCTAAGACACAATATTGGGTACTACTACTACTACTACTACTACTACTACTACTACTACTACTACTACTACTACTACTACTACTAATACTAATACTACTAATACTACAGCCACTACTATGGATGTCACTGCTATTACTTATAATGCTGCTTATACCACTTCCGCTACTGATAATAATGCCGTTTACTCGGCCACTGTTTACCAATGATTGCTACGTCGGGAAGAACGCCAGTGGTTCGTGGTCGTTTGCAGTCCTTTTTGGTTTCTGTCTCCCGAATAGTAACATTCATGCCACGTAAAACATTTTAGGTTCCTCGGTTCAAATACAATAATTACTTAAGGGGACTTTTGCAGTTGCAAGACTCTGCCAATGGTGTGAGACCTCTGTTGCACGATTCTCCCGCGATGAAGGCTTTTCCTCATACCCATCGTCACAGGGTTACTGAAACTTTGGATACCGATCGCGTTAGTTATAAAGTTAGACGACAAATTATAACTACGCTCTTCCGTTAGTGTCTAGATGGTTTACTAGCGCGTTATTCGGAACTCTGTCTTTGCCTCATCCTGCGTCGCCCCATCCAAGTGATGACTTTCAAGGCCTCGCGATGGCTTAACAGAACACAATCTTTTTTCGAAGTAAAAAACGGATGGCGCAAGATCAGAGCCATTATCAACTCCCGCTTCAATGGACAGAGCCAGATCGATCGGAAATCGGACGCAGTGGAGGACAACGCGTTTCACTCGTGTCTCCTGTGCTAATCTCATAGCAGCAACCTCTAAGCTGCTGCTGCGCCGTTAAGTCACAATTAGTACCGCATTGGCATGTCCGATCCGCGAGTGTCTACCTATTGCAGCACGAGATTGTAATACGTGTAGATGATGTCACGGACTGTGCACTTCTCCACGTGCTATGATCCGCGGCAGCAGATATGGACAGCTCAACCTATCCTCTTCGTCAACGACGGAGACCGACTACCAAAGGTCCGTGAACCACTTCAATGTGATGACGAACTGTGTCAAGCCAGGTTTGGAGTTGACCTCCAAGTGGGTAACGGTGCCAGGTTCAGGGCAGCAACACTGAGCTCGTAAGTTGGACGAAGAAGAACGTGTCCAAATCATCGTAGTCATCTTTTTTGAATGGCATGAGGTATCTTTGGATGGTTGTCACAAGTGCGAAGTTTCTCATTTAAGACGAAGTCGGAGTATTTTACTCGAAGAATGGTCCTCAAGCAGTGGTGGTCAAATACCTCCAGTTTTCGCTTGTTCTGCACGCGTACAGCCCAGCATTCAAAACCGTATATAGGAGGACTGACCAAACAGATGCAAGGTACACGCGAACCTTCATGGCTATGAAGATGTCGCGTCGGATCCGGGGACAATTTCGAAGGCTTGAGTAAGCTCGGCGCGCAGCACCGATTCGGGAGGCAGCGGCCTCGCCGAGAGGTATTGGAGACCGTTCACATCTTCAAGTTGACAGCTATTAATCTCGAAACCTCATGAGATACTCTTCCGCAGGATGCGCTAAAAATTGCGGGTGGGGTAACTGTCTTCTGTCCTAGAACGTAGATCAGGCTGCAACTGCTGCCCTTCGGTGTAGATTTT